AGAAGTTTTGTCTCCGCATCAACCACCACGCACTCGAACTTAAGGACATGACCGATGTCATCTGCGCTTGGGGTATAAGTTTTAGAGCGTCCTACCTCAATCCAAGTAACACCACCACTCCTCTGTGTAACTGTCTGCGGATACAAAGGCGCTGATCCATTTGTCAAGGTAGAACTAGATAAAGAACCAGATAAAGCAGTATTAACAACTCCAGATCCTGAGCTATTGAAACGTCCGAATAACTCTTCCTCCTCATTCCCATTCTCACTGACAGCACTTGCAGCACGGTCATGCAGAACTCGATGATGCTGCCATGCATCTGAAAAGCACTTAGGCGAACAATGGTAGCTTTTAGCGACAGGTATTTTGGCCTTAACACAACCTAGGCACTGCAACGTGGCTTGCTCAGACGGATGTACACTACAGACTGCAACTTTCTTATCGCTTTGTATCCGATACCTGCAAGTGAAAGAAAGAACCCACTGACGCCATTTCATTTCACAATTCAGTCATTTTTTTTTTCAGATCATTGTCCAACTAAATATCTAACAAAAAGTAAATAATGCTATCAAGAATCAAAACTAGTTTGCCAGTGATGAGTCTTGTTGGCTGAAGAATATTAACGGCACAATCTCCTGCGGATGACTGGTCTAAGATCTTCAAACATTATATGATTGGAGATTATTAATTAGGACAAAAGTGTCCGGGAACAACTTTTGTTTAGCAATTTATTCAACAGAAACAAAAAAATGCAATGAATCACGACAAAAGAGCAAAAAAAGCGACAGAGAGCCTGTCCTTATGAAAGGACATCACTACAATGCATGAAACTTTTTTTGGGGGCCTGGACGCTAGATGAGATTAAAAATACTATGCTACCAACCAGATTGGCTATACACAGAAAGTTCAACAGTCCTTAAATTGGCTAGGCAAACTAGGATAATACACAGTCTTGGTTTGGACTAAAATAGAGAGGTTTGTACCATTGGGTGGGTGGAATATATGGTCAGACATAGCCGATACATGTTTACCATTTTGGATGTTCGCCTTATTTAAGCTTATAGGCAAAGTGCGTTGACGCTAAATGAAATGCAAAAGTTACAATTTTTAACCATTCTTTGTAACAGAAAGGCAGGGAAATTTCATAGGTATCCTAAAGAGGACCTTAACGATCTCCCGAAATTTCATAGGGGGCCTTTCTTTGACACTTTCCAGCAAAAAACAATTTATGGCACGTTCTACTATTCTTCGAGAGATCGTTAAGGTCCACTTTAGGATGCAGCATGTTCTCTCTCTCTCTCTCTCTCACACACACACACAAACACACACACACGCACACACACACACACACACACACACACACATATATATATATATATATATATATATATATATATATATATATATATATGCACCCCACCTACTTCATTCTTCCATTTGTTTTAAATAAGTAGCAACAATGCCTGGTATTGATGTAATTAGATCTTGATCAAAGTTAGTAGAGTTTATTTATAGGAAATATCAATTTAGAAAATGTTACCCTTTCCTTTTTGTTTTAACGAGAACTGACTCGATGTTCTCTTCGCCATATTAAATGTCTTTCTTTTACCGTTTCTCTTCATGTCCTAATGCTTCTGATTCTAAACATATGTTGTTTCCTATTTGTTGTTCATTGCCATTTCACATTATTTGAAAGTTTGAGTATGCTGAAGATACTAAAATTGATTTATGAATTAATTTATTAAGTGATTTGGTCCATTATAACCGAGTAATTAAACAAGTGGAGCATACACATCCAGATGGCAAGAGCTCACCGCATCACTCTGTAAACCAGATTTGTAAATTATTGTTTGCATCTCTAGCTTTATTCTAAAAGTTTTACGTGTACTTAACATCCTTCCATCACATTTCACATAATGTAATGTTTTTCATAAGCATAGAGTTTAACAGCCTCTCTTGCATGGTCTTTCCCCAGGATTTAACATCACAAGCGAGCTCTTCACCTTCATCTTAATCGCTCATTCTTGTCACTTCTCTAGTAAAAACATTGTTTAACCTCATTAACATTACTGTGAATCACTTTCAAGGTTCAGTCTACAATCCGCATTTTTCAGTAACCATGCCAAAATTCGCTCATACTAGGGGATCATCAATAACTGATGATCAACCAAAATAAGACTTCACACTTCACAATAGAACATGCCTAATTACGATGGTGATTTTATGACACGTTTACCCAGCCATTGCATCAATAATGCATAATGAACTAAGAGAAACCTGACGTTAACAACAAAGTGATGAGAATGCTAAATGATATCGTAATGTACCTAATTCCTGTAAAGAATAAAGATCTAATCTATTCGCATCTCAATGCGTGCTGTTCAAAAATAAATGCAAACTGATAGATAGCTGGCTAATTATTGCCAACAAAGCCAAAAAAAACCACAGTTCTGACCTGCTTCACCTCATAAGTTTAGAACTTTAAGTCTTGAAAATCTTCATTACAAGTAATACTAATTTACAGCACAATTTCTTCAAACCGCAAACCCATAAAAAGCCATACATCACGAGACAAACCTACCACTTGACAAATTGACATAAATTTTACATGCTTGTAACCTTCTTTTCCATCCGCCTAAAAAATCCAATACTTTGCCCACCAAGCAAGCCAAGACTGCCACGACAAGCAGAACAGCCATCACAGCTGCCTCATTCTGGTTACACCGATAATTAGACATTCGACTAAACTGTTAACAGGATGGATGTGGCTAACTCCTTCCCATTTGGGGCTCACACGTGCCTTTTTGTAACCAAACAGACAAAAATGGCAGGTACAAGATAAATCCACCATGTTCACAAACACTTCTGCCACGTGTCGAAAAAGATTAATTCGGGACGCCAACCCAACACAGGAGGCTCGTCCTATTCTTCCAGAAGTTACAGAAGAAAACGTTCATGTTGCGCCAACAGGGAGGATATTTAACTGAGCAAAAACTGCTTTTGGAAAGTCTATGCCACAGGAATATAATAACTGTAACATCAATGTTCACAAACTCCTACACCACATTTGAATACCCCAAGCTAGCAATGTCACTTTAAGTAAGTAAACCAAGCAAACCAGCATCTCATAGATAAGACCAGATGATCCACTCAGTGCAACAAAAAGGGACAGAGAAACAAATAAACTAAAAAACTATTAATGCACAAACAACCCTCAAGCTCAAGTAGGTGCGATGCAATTGCCTCTCAAAAAACCAAAATAGAAAAGAACTACGAACTACGGAATTCCCAATAGCATAAATCCAATTGCCACTCCAAACACGTCACTCAGCATCGCCGAACTCACTTACCACTTGTATCTCAAGAAGTGGCCGTCCACCGGAGCGGACTCGGGGACATCCTCGGTGGAGAGGGACTTGTCGGGTCGTCGCAGCAGCACGTACGGCGTGAGCTCGCAGCCAACGATGGGTATGTCCGAGGGCAAGTGCACGCGGAGCACGCTCAGCATACTTCAATCCTCGGGGTTGTCACGGCGCTCGAACTCTGGCGAAACCGATCGAACAAAGGCGGCGTCTTTCACCCGGCGGCGGATACCCGGCGGCGGCGGCGGATCCGCCATTTACGAGGCCCCGGAACCCGCCAGCCTTATCCGACCTTCCCCCCGCAAGCCCTCCTCCTCTCTCCCTCCTGCGCCCGCGGAACCGTAGGCGGCAACAACCGCAGCCCCGAGATCAAGCGCCGCCGCGACGCGCGCGATTTCTCGATGTGCCAGAGATTGGGGAAAGAATCGAGGGCTGGATTCGATGGATCGACGGAGAAAGAGGAGATCGGAGAGGGAGGGAGGGGGGGGGGGGGTTCGATTTCTAGGGTTTTGCAGAGGGGGGGAAGAAGGAAGGAAGGGAAGGAAGGGAAGGAGCGAAGTCAAGGAGTGGTGGTGATACTGATGGGATTTGCGAGTACGTGCGCCTGCCGCTGCTGCTGCCGCTACTGCTGCCGAGTGCCGACTGATCGCGGTGGCGGTGCTGCTCCTACTGTTGGTGGACTTTTTACTCGGGGGAGGGCGTATACGTATACGTGTACGTGTACGTATACGTGTACGTGTACGTATACTTGTGTAGGGGCAGCTGTAGGTACAGATGTATTTCGCAAAATCAGATATAAATCTTTGATGTTATAAAGTTTAAGATTATGGTTTTATCAGATCTTTGGGTGATCTTTGAATTTTAATTTTGTGAATGTCCTTTTTTTTCTCTTTGATGATTTGAAGGTGCTAAAAATGTCGTCTTGTGTTTTTTTAGCAAGCTATACTGATTTATAAGCTAAGTGATTCTCTGCGCTTTTCATCATTGCAAACGGTTCGTGTTGGTGTTTAGGGAATCGAGTCGTTTTGATCATTAAGTACTATCGATTTCTCTATTCGATAATAACAACGAGTGAAAGTACGAATTTGATTATGAATGACACTATATTGATTCGTGTTTATTTATTATATTCATTCGTTCTAACATCATAATATTAAAAGATTTCGCAAAGCATGATTAGAGATGTAAATCAATCGGGTGGTTTAATTGACAAGGCGGTGGCGGGAACAAACAAAATTCTAAAAGGCATCTTTATTATCGTACCGACGTAATCAAGGAATTATTTTTTTTTAACTAAATTGATCATACCATCGCCCAGAACAAACAAAAGCAGATTGAATAATACAATCGTCGATTTCCATTCAAACCAATGATTTCAAGATAATCAAATTAAATTCGATTTTGCTTTAGAAAATAGAGATTAGTGCACAAAAATTCTTAAAACTTGCCGAGAGGCAGGGTAATTTGTTAATTCTAGAGGGCCCCAGAGCAGCCATCCGAACTGCCCGACCCAATTGCAAACCGATCCGACCCGGCCCAATCCAATGCCCAATTCCCGGCCCGCACCACACAGAGGCCCAATGGCCCAACGGCCCAAGCTCTCCAACGATCATCCGTATAAAACCCACCCTCGTCTCCGCCCCTCCCATCTTCCTCGCTAGGGTTTTCTTCGCTTCCAGCGGCGGCTTCTTGCAGAGACGCCAGGCCGGCGGCGCAGCCGAACCTCGTGAAGAGAAGAAGCAGCTCGCGGAGACATGCCGGCGGGTCACGGCGTGCGGTGCCGGACGAGGGACTCGTTCTCGAGGCCGTTCAGGAAGAAGGGGTACATCCCCCTGACGACCTACCTCAGGACCTACAAGATCGGCGACCACGTCGACGTCAAGGTCAACGGCGCCGTCCACAAGGGCATGCCCCACAAGTTCTACCACGGCCGCACCGGCCGCATCTGGAACGTCACCAAGCACGCCATCGGCGTCGAGGTCAACAAGCAGGTGGGTACTGCAATTTTTCTTTCTTTGTTTTCGAGCTCGATTGCACGGTTCGTTCGCGTTCTGTTGTGTGATCCGGCGATGGAATCGTGGTCGACGGAAGCGTTGGTGATGGAAAGTCTGGATATTTGTTGCGGTATAGTTGTTGGCTCGTGTGATTTCCGCGGAAATGGTGGCATGCTTTGGCCATTTGTGTCTGAATGATGTTTCTTTTCGTGGCACGTTGTGGTCATATTAAGAATCGATGTTCCTCCGTGCCTTATGTTGAGTTGCTCGGTCTTTGCACCTGCGATTATCTGTGCCGGGTTGGTGATGGGCATTGAAACCGTCTCTCGACTGAGGTAGTTCAATTCGTTTGGATGGTTTCCAACTGTTGGATTTTTCAACCGCATTGTCCCCCTCGAGCTTGTTTAAGTTCAGACCTAATTCTCCTGCGCCTGGAAAAGTGCTGATCTCGCCATTATTGTCTGCTGCTTGTATATCATTTTAGATAAAGCCCAGTCCTAGGGGTGGCAATTCGTGTCATGCCTTCATATTTGCGTAGGTAGTAATTTCGACTTTGATGACATAATAACGATTGTCTATCGAAACGAAGAAATTATGCATTGCTACATCAGACGTCGAGCCAGTTGCATGTATAGAACTCGTGTGCGATTCGAATTCTTCTGCTACTTTACTCTCGTCATTGTGGTGCTCATGTCTCATTTTGATTCGTTTTGGAGATTGCATGGAATTGCTTGATGTGCTTTGCATTGGAGAAAGAGGCCATTTTAGTTGATATGCTTTGACTTTGCCATTTTTAATTCTGTGGTGGTTTATTTAGGTGGATGTTTTACTTGTTTTCCATGTCTCGACATGGTGCTGTAGTTAGTTTTTAAACTAGGTTCACTTTGTACTCTAGTATGGTTGTTTATTGTCTTACTGAAATGCAATTTCTTTTGTCACGAATTAGGTGGGCAATAGAATAATCAGGAAAAGGATCCATGTGCGCATCGAACATGTTCAGCCTTCAAGATGCACCGAGGATTTCCGTTTGAGAAAGATCCAGAACGATAAGCTGAAAGCTGAGGCCAAGGCAAGAGGCGAGAAAATCAGCACCAAGAGGCAGCCAGAGGGCCCCAAACCAGGATTCATGGTGGAGGGGGCAACCCTCGAAACTGTTACTCCTATCCCGTATGATGTCGTAAATGACCTTAAGGGTGGTTACTAGAGCTGATCTGTATTGGTTAGCTCTGATTTGTGATTTGTGAGCCACATACATGTGGTAGCTGGTTTAGTTATATTCATGATCTAAATCCCGAGTCTTCTTTCTTGACTTGCTTCTCAATTTTTTTTGGGGGATTTTTTTATCTGTTTCGAGCTGTTCTTTGAATGCTGCAGAAGCAATAGTATCAAATTAAGAACTACTATTGAGTCGTCTTTCTTTTTATTTCCAATGCCCCTTTGAAGGCTACCGATAATTTCCCCAATCATTCTTAGGTGTTTTGTCTGATTCAGCCATGACTATTAGAATCTGCTTTCTGATCTTGTGGTATCCTTCGTCCCCGATGAACTCATGCTGCATGATTGGTCTATAGAATCTTCTTGGTGGAATATGGTTATTGGATTATTCAAAATTTTACTTTCTTTGGTTAGATTCTCAATTATTAAACACAGAGATTTGGATTAACGGAATTGAATTGTCGGTTGGAATCGACATTGCTTGCTGATTACCTTCAAATAGTCACTGATAGGCATGAACATGATCAGTGAAGTGTGTGTAAAGATAAGTATATGTGCTGTAGTAAGCAGTCTATCACAAGCTTGGAAACTGCTCTCTGGCTTCTCAGTGACTCGGAGCAAAAGTTAGCTTTACCCGCACACTCTCTGCTTGATATATGAGGTTCCGCGTTGAATTCACTAACGGGACATCTCAGAACACTTTCTTCTCGTCTCTTTCCAATTGATATTCCCGATTTTCTGGTTCGTTTGTCGGTTCGCCATGGACTTGGGATGAACTTGCACTCAGATGCTCACCCGTGGGGACGTGAAACTGCAAGAGTCCTTAGACCGAGAGGGAGCTAACCAGGGCTGGACCGCTAACTTGAAACTCATTGATGAAGAAGTCTCTGGCATTCCCATGTCTTCTTCTGCTGCTTCTTTTCTCAGGTTTTGTATTTTGTTCATATAAGTGTGTGTGTTCTTTACATGATCGTCTTGTTAACTGCTTCGCGTTAACCCATTCTGCCGTGCTCACGGTCTGTAGAAGGCGGTTCGTTGGTCCTCTGAACTGCTTAACCATCTTGCCCGATAGAAAACAAAAAGAAAAGAAACAACGATGCAGTAGCGCACAAGATTTCAATTACTTTTTGTTAGTTGCAGAAGAAATCATAGGGAAGAAACCATGAAAACATATCCCCTGAATATCATGGATCAGTCACACCCTCTTCCATGGAAATATACCCTGAATAGCATAGATCAGTCGAACGTAATCATCTCTGTCTCATTCAGTCTTCTTCCTCGAGCAGCCGAGTTTTTCCTGGCCATGGCGGCCCGGGGTGCGCATGCAGCAAGGATTCCGGAGCACACGTGCTACAAGCTGATCAGTTTCCATAAGTGCAGCCCCCAGAAATGCATCGATGTGTGCTTTAAAGAAGTGTATGGGGTCGGAAAATGCAGAAGCGACGGCTTGTGTTTTTGTACCTACTATTGCAAGCTTCCTCCACAATGAACTTTCTACCTTTTTCACATGGTGCTTCACTCTCACTGGTAAGCTTCAGACGGAAAACCACCCAAGGATGTTACTTTCTGCACTTTTCTTCTTCCTCCTCCTTTTCTGGTGCTGTAAAGACGGCGGAGGATGCTACAGAAAACTACTCTGTTACAGTGGAGCCGGCAAATGATACTACGCGTTCACATCATGGTATGTTTCTTGCATTAGTTGATGACTGTGACATAGTCGTGCTCATGACATTAAGGCGGAGGCGGGTTTCATCCTCTACGACATTTGAAGGAGAAAATGAGCAATCGCGAAATGTTGAAATCTCCTATTCGACTTGAAACGGTTTGGTAATCCTTTGATAAATCCTTGCATTTGCTGCCTTATTTGTCGAAGCGGGAGTGTGTTTTAATCAGCAGATGGTCTGAAGGAACCAAAGTTGCATATGCTTAGGTTTAGCTGACTCTCAACATAATTATCTTCTTAAGCGAAGGCGAGGGAATATACGCCCGAATTGATACTGCATTCTGGTACACGAGAGAGTATACGTACAAAATCGTTTATTTACCGATTGAAAAAAAAAAAACAGAGCCATGATCCGCATTGAACAAAATCGTAATACCCTGTTCAACGGCGGTGGATTTAATAAAAATCCTCTGTCATATTGCACTTTCGGATTTTTTTGTTTGAATCTGATCAGATGGCGATAACAGAGCGCTGCTATTGCAAGCATATCGTCGGGGAAAGCATGCGTACCAAAAAACATGGGGAAGTAGCATGTAATGTCGAAAAAGCGAGCAGCAGATATCTGTATCACGAAAAACATCTACATCAACGGCACGAAAGCATGGGACGCGACACGAACCGTCATCTCTAATGCTAAAATCCTAGAAAAATCTTATTGTTTATTCATTCAACCAACGGCCCGAAACCCACGCTACTCGAAAGGTAACAATGCCACAATACGAAACACCTCAGAAGTTCCTTGATCAAATTCTGCTGCCAAATATCTAGGAAGCAGGAGGAGGCACTGTTCCAAGTAAATTGTTGCAGTACTTGTTCACCTGGTCGCCGAAGGAGAGACCGAAGGGGAAAATCCATTGGGCGCAGGTAATGGGGATGCCGACGATGGCCTTGCAGCAGTCGGGCAAGAACTTGACGTTCAGCTCTTTGACCGACTTGAGGAGCTGCTCGGTACACCCCTCCACGCCGTCGATGATCTTCCAACATTCCAATGGACTCGTAAGGGGAAACCCGGGAAGGCCAATGCCCGGGACCTGAGACAGAGCAGGCGTGACGATGGCCATCACGGCCACCGCGAAGGTCAGAAGCAACGATGCCCGTTGTGCCGCCACCGTTTTAGCCTAAAAGCTATTCCTTGCTTTTGCTGAAGCTCGTGCCTGATTTGTTCTGCTCTCGCTTCGTGAGCTGGGGCTTCGGCTGTTTATATAGGCGTCACCGTCTTGAAGGTTCGTTCATTCCGAGAGAGGGAGTTACATGGATCAAAAGAAACTCATACTCAACACAATCTAGCGAAGAAGAGTTACGAGAGACTTGCATTAACTCGCTTTGAATGTACCCATGAACAGAAAACGTCCAACAATTAATGCTACCAAGTGCAACTGTGCAGATAAGCAAACCTTGCTTATCTATGTTTTTCACAAGATCCTATAATGTTATTTGGGTCTCAGCAAACGTACCACTGCCAGTCCTAATTAACTCACCATTCTACTATGTTTTTCACAAGATCCTACGATGTTCTTTGTCGAGTGACAGTGTGACTAACAATGTTTCGCTAATTGATGTGATTAGTCGATTGACGAATCTAGATTATGATGAAAAAAAAGATATTTTTAGTAGCAATTTTCCTTTTTGGTTGGGCAATGTCGGAGTGAATTCTCTACGACAAATGAGGATTCATCTGGAAATGCTCTTACATGGCCAAGCTTCTAACTTAACTAATCTGCCGTTTCACGAGATTAGAGTGGATATACAAGTGGATTCTTTGACCGATTCATTTACTGCCACCCGAGACAGTTTTGACAAAGCGGTTGCTCCCCTCTTTAAACAAAATGTGAAAAGAGGACATCCCATGAAGTCTTCTGATTACGATCCTTCCGGGGAAGTGCAAAAAATTCCTAAACCTTTTTTTGGTGCCAATTAAGTCCTAAGCCTTTTAAATTGGTGCCAATTCAGTCCTAAACCTTTTATTTTTGTGCCAATTTAGTCCTTTCGGTCAGTTTTGACCGGAATTTGCCGACGTGGACGCCTGCCGGCCAGCGGCCGGTCACCGGCGCCGACGTGGCGCCGACGTGGATAACTTTAATAATATTTTAATTTTTTTTTGAATTTTTATTTTTTTTCCTCTTTTTTCTTTTTTTTTCACTTTTTTTTTTGGTCCTCCCCTCCTTCCTCTGGCCAGTCGCCGGTCCGGCGAGGGCGGTGGCCTCCCCCGGCGAGGGCTAGCCTCGCCTTGGTCGGGCGAGGCCCGACTGGGGAGGGGGGGACCAAAAAAAAAAGTGAAAAAAAAGAAAAAAAAGGAAAAAAATAAAAATTCAAAAAAAATTAAAAATTATTAAAGTTGTCCACGTCAGCGCCACGTCGGCGCTAGTGACCGGCCGCCGGCCGGCAGGCGTCCACGTCGGCAAATTCCGATCAAAATTGACCGGAAGGACTAAATTGGCACAAAAACAAAAGGTTTAGGACTGAATTGGCACCAATTTAAAAGGTTTAGGACTTAATTGACACCACAAAAAGGTTTAGGACTAAATTGGCACCAATGCAAAAGGTTTAGGACTGAATTGGCATAAAAAAAGGTTTAGGACTAAATTGGCACTAATGCAAAAGGTTTAGGACTTTTTTTGGCACTTTTCCCTCCTTCCGGGCCATGACAATCACTCTTTGTTTTGGCCACTTTCAGGGTTTAGGCTTAGTTCATTTTTTTCGGAAGATTTCCCATGATATTTTGAAGATGACTAAATAGTTAAAGACTACTAAACAGAGCGATTTATGATTGTGAATCACTATAGTGGGCATGGATATTTGTAATCTGGAATGAAAATGAGACGGCATTGTGAGCGGTGCTCGAGCCCGTAGAAGCAACTCCAAAAGTTTCGAGTGGAAGTAGCACATTCTGTATAGGCTGTAACATCGGATTACATAATGGACTTCAGCCTTGTTGAGGCTGTAAGAGCAGCGAAAAGTGGAGTAGGCCGAGTAGAAAGCAAAACCACTATAAATACTCTTGTCAATTTCTGCTTGTAGAAGATTTGTGATTCTGCATAAGTACATACGATTATATAGCACATGTGCACCTTTTACACATTGTCCATTACGTCTTCACAAAAAAAAAGTTTCAAGTTTCTCAAGACGACCTATTCACCCTGTCTTGGTCATAGTGCCTAGTCCATTTAAACTGGCATCACAAATTTTCTTCCTTGGTTAGTATTGAAGTGGTATAATATATTTGATGGAACTATCTACATTTATCGGAAATGCAGGACGAAATTTTGTGGGAAGATAAGATGTACTAGTAGCACATGGAATTCCATGTCCATCTACTCTCAAACTTGACTTTTCGTTGATTTTGGGGCACTTTGACTCTGGCTTTTATTTAACACAAAACAATTGAACAAAATCTCTCAAAATATTTAAATATTGACATGTAAAATCATATATAATATTTTATTTGAAGGAAAACCGAAATATCTTTTCGCAGCTTTTTAATTTTCTAGTTGATTAGACCCTTAAAGTTCATCCACGATCTCTGAGTATTCTTGAAAATATATGAAGAAAAAAATACCCTCTGCCAAGTTAAGTAAATAATCAAAAGATGTCTAGACTTACCTTCCATTGTCCTATATTTTTTCCTGTTTTTCACGTTTTGGTTATTGAACTTGACTGTAATCGTAACTCAACAAGATTATTGATGTAAATGTTCCCCACATAGTTGTTATTTTAAAGAGCGCAAGACTTTAGTTCATGAGAATTTCAATCCATATATTTGAAAACGTAGGGATAAGATATCGATGGATCAGCCTCATCGGCCCTTTTAACTCCCACAACCATAATCGAAGCTTCCCTTTGTGCTTACAGCTCAGAAAAGCCTTAAACAGTGCTAATATTACAGTACAAGATTTTCATGACCCCCAATTCGTATTGAACAATGTGGTTTTGTTATAACTGTACACAACAAATTACTGCTAATTACACAAACAAATGCAACCATCTTGTCTCTTCAGTTAACTAGTTGACGCCAAAACACACACATATATACACATAGAGAACAGGATTCCAAAGAGCATTTACAAGGAACCCCATCAAAACACGATCAAAAGATGGGGAGACTTGCATCACCAGACGCTTTCCACCTTCTCTTGTTGAGCTTATTGATGTCGTCTGTTGCGGCGAGGACTTCCATAGACGACGCGGCGAGTGCCAAGATCACGAGGTTACCCAGACAACCCAAGGACGCATGCGTCGCGCAGTATTCGGGTTATGTGAGGATAAGCGAGAGAAAGAAGATGTTCTATTGGCTGGTCGAAGCGTCATCAGATGCAGACTCCAAGCCTCTTCTCCTGTGGCTCAACGGAGGACCCGGTTGCTCGTCGATTGGGTACGGAGCTTTTCAGGAGATCGGACCCTTTCAGGTCCTGCCCAATGGGAAACTTGCGAAGAGACAAATCTCATGGGACACCGGTAATTTTGTTTCAGCAATGCTTCATGTAGTCAACAACATTGATTTGCCTCTCTCTCACGAAATTCCGTCGAACTAATAGATATGATCATAATTTAATGCTCTAATAGTACATAATGGTAGAACTAGAGCATATACTTTTGTGATACGCTATGACTTTGCCAATACGGTCTTTAGAAACCAAAGTACCGACTTTTTCATGCAGGGAGACGCAATTGGTTCATTTCTGTTATCCCATTTGAACCAATGAACGAAAGACCTTACGAATGTTACCTCTTTCAAACTCGTGGATGGCCCCATTTACTAATGTCATCTCGTTGGCTTGTTGCAGAGGCGAATTTGCTCTTCCTTGATTCCCCTTTTGGTGTCGGATATTCTGTTCGCAGCATTGTTGAGCAAGATGGAGATAATAGCACTGGTCGGGACTTTCAGACTCGGTTTATCTTTGTTTTTCACGGTTTAAGTCTTGCGTCTTACTGATACATCTCTTCCGATAGATTAATCGCTATCCCCTTTCTTTACGATCTTAGCCATGGACAGTTATGCGTTTCTAAACAAATGGCTTGAAGTCTTCCCGAAATTCAAGTACAGAGAGTTCTATCTTGCTGGAGAGAGCTATGCAGGTATGCATGTCTTGTCACCATTGAATCCCAATGAACCCACTTATACAGCACAGTGTGGGTCACTCAGAAGCTCAATATTGGACTTGTTTTAGGCCATTATATTCCTCAACTTGCACAAGTGATTGTAAATCAAAACAAAGGGATCGCCCGACCAATTATCAATCTGAAGGGACTCTTGGTGAGATGATTAACATGGAGTCTCCGGTTGAAGTAGATTCGTTTTCACTGCTGAATTGAGCTAAATTTTTGCTATTTTCTTGGGGAAAAAAAACTTTAGTTAGGAAATCCTTCTCTTGACAAAGCAACTGGAGATCCTGCAAAGTGGGAGTTCTATTGGAATCTGGGGCTTCTTTCAGACACTACGTACGAAAACATGAGGAAATTTTGCTCTGTGGATAGAGCTTCGGAAGGCTGCTCTAAAGCGCAGAAAGAAGCAGGTGACAATGAAATGGGAGTTGTAAATATCTTTAACGTATATACGAGACCATGCGGGGACAACTCCATACAGGTGAGATAGCTCCCAGATTCAGTTTTAGAGGCACGAAAAGAAATCTCAAGAAATAGCTTTATCCATCGTTTTTTCTCTAGAAGCAGGATCTGATGTATAGAGACGGGAATGAATTCTGCATGGATGCTGACACCGTGAAGTACCTGAAAAGGAAAGAGGTGCAAGAGTGCTTCCACGTTGACACCTCCTACATTCCATTGAACTACACGCTCTGCAGGTTCTGTCGATCGCGAGACAACAACTTTCTTCAAATTTAGGGCATGCAAAATATCCAGAGATAACTTAATCTTGTGATTTGGCTTATGCAGTGAACCACGCGTCAAACTCATATATAGCAAAAGTGACAAAGAAACATCGGTCCTGCCAATCCTTAAAGAACTCATAGAGACCCGCTTGCGGATTTGGATATATAGGTGAGGTGTAATGGTTAATTACCCGAAACAAGAATGTATCATAGAACATGCTGGATAGACTTGAGATTTACCTACGACAGAATCATTTGGTAGGATTAGTGCACAAACATTCATACATATGGGGAAACCGACATTTCTTCTAATTCATCACAAATGAGTCTTTTTTCTTACCGTTGTTAGTGGTATTGGGTGTTGACTCGCATGGATTATTGCCTTTTTCTTGAGTAGCGGCACAACAGATGCAGCCGTTCCTTTGCCAACAACTCGACGTAACATTGCAGCACTAAACCTGAAAGTACAGGAGAAATGGTACCCCTGGTACCATCACGATCTGGTAAACGCAATTCAAATCAAGTTAAAGAAAAGCTTCCACAAATCCATTCACAATGACTAAAACTAGACATTTTGGTTTCCCAGCTTGCAGGTTGGGTCGAGATATATGAAGGCTTGACGTTAGTTGCCGTAATGGGCTCAGGACATGAAGTGCCAATGTATCGCCCCTCCCAGGCACATACTATGCTCAAGAGCTTCCTGTCTAATGCACCAATGCCCAAGCCACCTCCTAAGCAGACAAGTTCCGCCTGAAGTCACTTGAGCTATGATCCCACAAATGCTCACGTCCAGCGTTAAGTGAAAGGGTTCTGGTCAATCTTTTGTTCTTGATGCAAAACTATTGAAGTGCTTGCAGAATGCTAGAAGCTTGGGAATTCATAAGATGTAGTTGGTTGCAAGCGCTTGATATTTCTTCTTGTCAATTTTAAGTTCTCGACTAGAATGCGGAAAGCCAACAGTACCAGTTGAATGAAATGGATGTAATTAAGGTTAGAAAATCAGCTTTTTCCTCCTATAAATATACAGTAAATAATCCTGCCACAGACATTACATTGCTTTTTTGTTTTCAGAGAAAGTAACACTGCACAATTGACTCGATAAACTGTATTATCGGTGGCCACTCTTCTTTTTCGTTAGGACATGATGAGAATATTTTCAGAACCGATCACGACATCAACATGTATTATCCTGGAAGTTGCTTGGTTTTACGACAGAGATGGAGAGAAGGTTCACTTGACCTGTAGTTATTTGCGAATAGTCAGTATTTTCGTTAACTATAATTGACACTCAAACAGTGGTAGTTACATTTTATAATAATAGAATGCATATGCACAACAAAGTCTCTGGATGATTTTGGCCCTTCATTTTCTGACCGAGGAGAACATACCCGTATACCAAAATGAGCATTTGGAACTTCCCCATGAACTAATCTTTATTACTTATCCAAAATATATTTTTCATGCTAATATTTTTATATTTGAAAACATAATCGAAAATAGTAATTTTTGTTTAAATATGAAATTCAGTGGCTTAGATATATTTGAAACACATTATACTTCCCATATAATCTTTATTGTAACTACAAAATTATGTATTATCCTAATGACACGATTAAAAGAAGTCTACGCCTATCGTTTGGTACAAATGACGTTTCGCGTGCCCATATTTTGTTCCCCGTACCCGAGCAATCCACACTTCAGATAACCTAGGTCTAGTCCGTATTTGGATATTAGCAGTAATTACCCGACTTTTAGGGTAGATCCAACTGGTCCCCTGCCCAATTTAGAATTATTCGGATGGGTTGCGTCAAAGTTGGATGGACATTTCCACAATGGACGCGGAGGACCATTGCATCTCTCCCTGCAATGCCTCCATTTTGGGGGCTTTGCCTATATGGTTAGCCAACATGTGAACTTTGTGGCTTGATTTGTCTCACACTCAAATTACCACGTCCTTACCCAATGTATATACTTTTTAATGGTTCCAATTTAGATCTCTCCGATAAATTTAATCTCTCTACCTCTTCCCCCGTTTCTCGGTGATATCCGGATGAATGGTACATTACCATCATCCTTATGGGCAACAAGACTAGTTAACATCGTTATTTCAAAGTTAGTAATTTAGTTAAGATCAAAACGTGAAACGGATGGTGTCTTTATAAACACGCAATGTACACCAAGAAACGACCTTAATATGAATAATAACACGGAACCAAAAGACTTGACTTGATCCGAGACCGACACTGCAAAAAACTGGACAGAGTTGTCCGCGATCTCCGTAATGGTGCTGCACTTGCTTCCAAGTTGACTTGGACTTCTCTTCTAGATGGGATCCAGTCATTAATTTACCAACTCCAACTGCAAGAGTGGATGTGCCTTTTCTCCCTGATGATGAGTATCATATGTGGACCTTGAAGGCGCTGCATATACATGGTACACATGATACATATAAGGTGCATGTATGTGACCACAACTTGTCAAATTAAAAGAGAAATTTCTCCCTGTCCTTCTCTATAAATGATATTGGTTTGATTAGACGACCCTTAAACCCTCCACTCTAAAACATGAATTCATCCTCTCCCTCATTGCTCACGGGGAGATATTGTTCCCAAGTGCTCACACTGGTAACTCTTTTACTTATTTTAGATAATTCATGTGTGTGCTTTTGTAGCAATTCAACATCCATTTGGAGAGAGCAAGAAAGAGATGCTTTGCTCCAGCTTCGACAAAGCCTCTTAGATCCATCAGGCTTGCTTTCTACGTGGAAAGGCAAAGATTACTGCAGATGGAAAGGAGTGATTTGCGATAGAGTATATGGCCATGTCATCAAGCTCCAATTACCCCAGCCAAGAAAAGACGAAACTAGTCTTCATTTTCCTATGGGCATGAAGCTCTTCCTGCCTGGTGAGCTGAACTCTTCTTTGCTCCACTTGAGATACTTGAACCTCTTGGACTTAAGTGAGATCAATTCCAATCATCGAAGGATACCCAAATTCCTCGGTTCGATGAAACAATTGAGGTACCTCAATCTGTCATTTGCTAACTTTCATGGAACGGCTCCTCGACAATTGGGAAATCTCACCAGGTTGGAAGTCCTCGATCTTCAAAATTACAATGGAAATTTGATTGTGGATGATACCTCGTGGGTTTCTCATCTTCAATCACTAAAGTACCTCGACATGAGTGGTTTAAAGATTGCAAACGCAAAAGGCCTCATACAGGTGATCAGCATTAGGGGTGTCAACGGGTCGGGTCGGGCTGGGTTTTCATGATACTCGACCCGACCCGAAACAATAAATATATGTGCTTGGCCCGACTCGAAACAAGACCCGAACATGATATAGCCGCACAATCGGGTCGGGTTCGGATCGGGTCGGGTCGGTTCGGGTTCGTGTTTAGAGGTTTACTAATCATTGTTTAACCAATACTACTCTGGGGAACCACAGACATAGGTAAGAACTTTCAACGGAATCGAACTGAACACATTCCCAAGTAAAGAAAAGTGTAAATTCAAGACCCAACAACCAAAAAGTTTACTTCCCCGAGAGCATTGCAAAAGCTCCGAATTTGAACACTCACCCGATGAATTCAGCTAACGTAACCCCGCTGGATACGAAAATCAAAAGCCAAGCAACACCACCGTCGCACCCGAAACATCGCTTGAAATTCAAAGACGCAACACTAGCACTAAAATCACGAATTACAACACCGTAACCCCTTTACCCCAAACTACACCCGAAACAGTCGAGAACGAGCGGGAACGCAGGCTAGAATCGAGCAATCAGGTACCCGAGAGAACGGGAGGAGCACGCAATCAAACGAACAAGCCGGCAATCGGGTGCAAGAATCACGGAACACGATGACCCCATCCAGCGAACACCAACCGGAACACCCAAAGGGGAAGACTCACCCGGAAGGCTGGGACGGCGACTGCGACGGAGCCATGGCGGCGGTTCCTCGGAGTCGGCGATCACGAGCTCCGCCTAGGCGCCGGCGAGAGAGATCCGGCAATTGAAGCGGGGAGAGGGATCTCCGGCGGGCGAACTCGAAGCTCGCGAGAGCCTCGGATATGGAGGTCGAAGGAAGGAGGGAAGGCGACGATGAATTTCCCGTCGCGAGGAGGTTTCTGTCCGTCACTTTGAACAAGAAGATAAGGTTTCGGCGCGCTTGGAACAAGAAGGACAAATGGGTGGGCTTGTTTCGGGCGGGCTCGGGTAGATCCAAAACAAGTTTAAGCCTTGTTTTTATTATTACCCAAACAAGTTAAGGTCAACCCGACCCAATATGAAAATTTCTTGTTTGGATCGGGTCGGTTCGGGTCGGGTCATGTTTGAGCGGGTACTTTTGACACCCCTAATCAGCATGCTCCCATCTTTATCACATTTGAGCTTATCAGACTGTAGATTAGATAATTTTTATCTGTCTTCTAATCACTTGGTCAATTGTACTTCTCTTGTTCATCTTCAGTACCTCAATCTTTCGATGAATCATTTCAAAGGTCCCATCCCGAGCACTATATTTCAAAACACGACTTCTCTCCAACATCTTGATCTTTCAGAGAACTCTTTCAACTCATCAATTCCCATGTGGTTTGACAAGTTTACAAGCCTTGTTCATCTCGATCTCATGGGAAATCTTTTCGACAGCATTGAAGGAGGCTTATTCTCATTCTTAAAGAACCACCGGTACCTCAAGTTGTTGCGTTTGTTTGCTAACGAAATCGGAGAAGAGATTTCAACAACCCAAAGAAATTCATCGGGACTCAATGAGAATAACTTAGAGTGTCTAGAGATATTTGGTAATCGTCTTAAGGTTGCTTTGCCCAACTGGTTATTGCACTTTACTAACTTAAAATACATTATGCTTCCCTACAATTCCTTCTCCAGTTCAATTCCTAGTGTCATCGGGTCATTGTCGAACTTGGTAACACTAGATCTTTCATATAATGGATTGAATGGGACCATTCCATCATCATTAGGTCGGTTGTCGTCATTGAGAAGTTTATATCTTTCTAATAATCAGTTGGCAGGGCATATTCCCGAGTCATTAGGGAAATTGCGGGTTTTACAAGAGTTGTACCTTGACAATAATCATTTGACCGGTACTATACCCAGTAGTTTCGGAAAGCTTTCTCATCTCTTGGATTTGAATCTTCGTGACAATTTTTTGGGAGGTGTGATTTCAGAAATCCATTTTTCTAATATGTCAAGGCTCGAGTATTTGGTTGTTAGTGACAATAATAACTTGACTTTCAAGGCAAAACCCAGCTGGATACCCCCTTTCCAAATTCTACTCATTGGGCTAAACTCTTGTAAATTCAGAACTCCATTTCCCCAATGGATTCGGACACAAGTGGAAGCTGAATATATCGAACTCTCCAATGCTTCCCTTTTTGGGCCCCTGCCAAATTGGTTAGCCAACATGACGTTTGACGAGCTCGATCTATCTCATAATCAAATTACCGAACCCTTGCCTAGCTTATCTTCTAACTGTTCCGCTTTGGATCTCTCCCACAACTCGATTTCTGGATCACTTCCGACAGATATTGGTGTCATGTACGGGTTAGAAACTCTGTATCTCAATGATAACCTAATTAATGGTACAATACCGTCATCGTTATGTACCGTGATGGGCATGCGTGCTTTGAATCTTGCAAACAATAAGCTATCTGGCAGTATTCCGGACTGTTGGAAGTGTTCTTCATCTCCCTCAACTTTGTCATTCAATAAGTCGTCCGCAGTACCTCCATGCTCAATGAGACCCGTCATTTCTATCCTACGCTTGAATGGAAACCGTCTCAATGGGGAGATTCCTCTGTCTTTGGGTTATTGCACAAGGCTAGAAATTTTAGACCTTGGAGAGAATAACTTCTCTGGTAGCATCCCGACATGGTTCGGCGAAAGCTTTAGTTACTTGTCGATCCTGAGGCTACGAGAGAATAGGTTTACGGGAAGCATCCCTCCGCAGCTCTGCTCACTCTCAGGATTGAAAATATTAGACATGGCAGCGAACAATTTGAGGGGAACGATCCCACGTTGTCTTGGCAATATGAGCGGCATGATAAACTTCAATCAAGTCAATCCATTTGGATCTCCATTGCCATTATATCCTTTTTGGGATCAGCTTGTGGTTGAGATCATGAAGGGACGATACAATGAATACACCAATATTGATCTGCTACTTGTGGTCAATTTGGATCTCTCAAGCAACCATTTGACCGGGTCAATCCCCGAAGAATTTGCTTATCTCGCGGGATTGCATGGCTTGAACTTGTCCCACAACCTTCTCTCTGGAAATATTCCCATTGGCATTGGGAACATGACATCACTCGAATCTCTTGATCTTTCGAACAACCACCTCTCGGGGACAATTCCGCAGGGCATTTCAGCGTTAACATTTCTGAGCCACCTCAACCTATCTCAAAACAACTTCACCGGGCAGACAGAATACAATGCAAGCCTCATCATCATATCAGCCATCTCGTAAGCTGTGGTACCAAATCTGGCATCTGAAGGCCCACCCTAAAGTTAGAATTTTTCTCTGGAACCTGTGCCAAAATGCACTCCCTACCAGAGAAAGCCTATACAAGCGCAAGATCATACCTCAGCCAGTTTGTCCTTTTTGTAATCACGAAATCGAAAGCGGTGGAACATCTGTTTTTGCTCTGCCCTTGGACCGGCTCGGTTTGGAATGATCCTGCATTAAATATACAGTCAGAACATCACGCGGATGGACGAATGGCTACAAAATCACCAACAAAAGCCAGCTAACTCACTTCCCTTTGAGAAAATCGCAGCCCTTCTCTGGTACATTTGGAAAGCAAGGAACGATCTTGTATTCCGTCGAAAACAAACACCCCCCCCTCCCCCCCGAAACACTAATTGCTTCAGCGGAGTCGATGATCAGCAATTATTGTAAGTGGAACACTAAAAGTTCAACACTTGACTCGAATCAAGCTCACTTACCCTTGAATTGGTGTCCGCCGAAGAATCAGTCCTTTAAGATAAACATCGACGGTTCCTTCGTAGCTGGTAGTCCAGAGGGAGCGATCGCAGGAGTCCTCCGAGATACCTCAGGAGTTCTGATAGACGGATTTGCTAAAAAAATCCGAGCTTCCTCGCCCATCCAGGTGGAAACCCTGGCTCTGGTGGAGCCGTTGAAGCACTTCAGTTTGAGAAGAAACGAAGTACTGTACTTGGAGACCGACAGCTTGAATCTCTTTGAAGCCATGCAGGAAAAAACTCACGTGCCGTGGGAGGTGGAGGCGCCCATCTTGGATGCTCAAAGCCCAGTTAGCCTATTTTAGCAACATCACCTTGGCCCATTGTGGAAGGGTCGCAAATCAAGTGGCTGATTGGGTAGTTAAGGCCCGAAGATTAAATACTCTTCCTCCTTCTTGGTCATCCCAGCCCCCCAACCCCTTTGGGACCTGTTGTGTTTTGATGTCTCTTATTTGGGGGTTTTGTCTAAGAACTCCTTGATGATAAATAGAACTTCTTTCCGACCAAAAAAAAAAAAGAGGTGACGTCGCTGATTTGCGTCTATTAAAAATGGTGATATTTCCGGTTCTCAAATTTTGAACATGATGAGTTTGCCTGGAGGCTTATGTATTGTTAGCGACCGTATGAAATCTGAATTTAACCTTACAAAAAGATTAATTTCAGGTTGCTTTACCAAATTTAGCTATACCTGTGTTTACCATCTTACTTTGCTTAAGTTGAACACGAGTTATTTTTTAAACTACTTCGAATCGTCGGTTTTCTGCGCAACTACTTGCTCTCTTAACGAGGAATGTTGTTTATGATCATCCCATATCTCCTAGAGACTCGTCGAAGTAATTTTCCAAAACCGTGTTTTAATCCTTCGATTATGTTTATATTTTGCCTCGATTCTCGATTCTTCTGTGTTTTTTGAGCTCAGAGGCCTCTTGATGATATCCAATCTAAGAGGATCGAAATTGATGGCAAAGTCGTACTCTTAGCTTCTCATTTCTTCCCCTTCATGAATGACCTTTGGTCTCTCTGCTAAAAATCAACCATGCTTGTCTCCAGTCTCAACTAGGCTTTTTGTCCGAATTGTATATAGAGTTTGAATTCCTCAACCTTCTCATATTCATCATCCATCCAAAAGCTCGTTGCTACATTTTTCTCTACAACAAAGGTGGTGGTTAGATTCTGTCTTTTCTGGATGCTATTAGCAGTGATCGCGAATGTTTATCCCCACTCATTATCAGACCTGTTTTTCTAATATAAGATAAGATACATATGCTGTTCGATTCTTTTCTTTTGGGAGCATTTTATTTTATGATAGCTCTGAGTTTCTTAGTGTAGTTTATATGTAGGAATGGTACTCTGACCCTTTCACTTTCTGCACATGCATTGCGTTATTGATCCCTTGCTCAATTACCATCACTATTAGTTTAGTGATTTGCATTCATAGGAAACACTAAATAACTAAAGAATCAAATTACATCCATGGAAAACAATCGACACACGTCTATTGAAAGAAAAGCCTACATAGAGCTGGTTCCTTTACAGATTGAACTATTAATGTTTTCTATGGTCGAAATCATCATTTATCTTGAAAATTTATGGACGAAGCAAACTCAAGTTTGAAATAGGTGTTGTGGGAGAAGAATTCAGAAATAAAGAATGAAAATTTACATTTGCGATGCTGTGAAAGTGATCGCAGTATGTTTTTCGCTGTTGTTTCCTATTGTCTTGCTTTTTGAGCAATGGCCGAGAATATCTTGTGCGTAGCACGGGCAACAAGACTAGTTGAAATTGTCATTTTAAAATTGGTAGTTTAATAAAAGTCATGACGTGAAATGGACGGTGTTGTTATAGACACGCATTTATACATAGAAACAATCATTAACCCAAAAGACTTGACTTAATTAGGTCCGTGTCCGGCACTGCAAAAATTGAGCGTAGTGTCCCACGATCTCCTTAATTGGGCTGCTTTTCACTTAAACTAATCTGTAGTGGTTGAATTCTCTCTTCCGGATGGGGCCCTGTCATTAACTTACAAACTCCCACTTACAAGAACGGACGTGCCTTCTTTTTATGACTCTGATTATGGTATGTGGACCTTACATGTGCTGCACATACATCCTTTGAGACAGTACACTTGCATCCACATCAGGTGCATGTTATGCAACCACACCGCATGAGAAATGAGCAATCTCGTGCCCTCTCCCCCGCCCTTTGGTTCTTCATTTCGGGTGTATTTAGAACTTGTGCTCGTGTGATCTCTTCCCTTCCATTACTTTGCTTATCAATGTAATGTAATTAGCACGCTGTGAGGTCTAATTCGCAAAACAATACTCTTTCTACCGTATCTTCGCATGCCAAACTTTGCTCTCCGCTCTCTCTTTTCAGCCAAATTTGATTTCTACTCGGCTTCTTTTCTCGCATTTTATGTGGCCGAAGGTCATAGTACAAGATACCTGTTAATTAGGGCTGGTCCGGACAGATTTAAATGGGCCTCCAATTCTTGGATCATTGGGACGGATAGGGAAGCAGGCAAAATTCTAGGGTCCGGACAGATTAAAATGAGCACTGTGAATATTCCAATACACTAATCGTTATTAGTTACCTGATATATATTTTTCATGATAATATTTTTGTATCGGAAAATGTTATTAAAAATAGTAGTTCTTGTCTGAACATGAAACTTAGTGGTTCAGATACATTAAAAACGCATTATGCCGCCTATATTATCTATATTGTAACTACAAAATCATGTTTTATCCTAATTACATGATCAGTAGAAGTCCACCCTTATTGTACCACATTTTTTACAAGTAACAGTTTCGCGATCCCTTTTTCGTTCCACGTACCGGTCCACACTCCAAGTAACCTAGGTCTTGCTTTTTTTTTTTTTGGTCTGTCCTTCTCTAATTCTCAACTCACTCTCAGACTTTTGCCCTGCCTCTTGCCGGGCGTGGGAGTCGAAACCCACATCTTAAACTACACGTCCCCGTCCCTAGCTTGAAGTATTTGGATATTAGCAATAATTTACTTGACTTTTAGGGTAGATCCCAAGTGGCCCTTTTCCAACTTGGAATCATTCGGATGGATTCCGTTAAATTTGGAGCAACATTTCCACAATGGATGGGACACAAGTGGAGGACCACGGGATATCTCTCTCAAATGGCACCATTTTTGGGGGCTTTGCCCAGATAGTTAGCCTAACATGTCGCTTTTGTGGCTTGATTTCTCCCACAACTCCATCTCTGAACACTCTACCTTGGCCGACTGATACCAGCGAAGTCGAGATAATGAAATTTGACTTTGCTTCAATTTGATTCTATCTTAAATTTGTGGTGCTTAATTTATTATTTTTATTCAATCGATTTTCAGGAAAAAAGTTGGACATGGTTGACCTTTTGAGACCTACTACCCATTTTGTTTTTTTTTTTTTGCCTTTTCTCTCTCTTTTAGGATATCTCCAACTTTCATAAGTTTTTCGTAATTTTCTTTTCTTTAAAGTAATTGCAAAAATAAGCAATGACCATCTCCTAAATTGACGCCTACCCGCATTTTTTATTTTTATTTTTGGCCTTATCTTTCTCTTCTGGGCTCACAAAAGATCGTAGAAATAATTTGTCATGGAGCATTCTACAAACATATAACCATTGCAAAAATTTTGCAAGGCAGTAAAAATATGACTTCCTCAATAAGGTGTTGGCTTAAATGGTAATAGAGTTTGCTTCTCTCCTTGTCTCTTAGTTTCAAGTCTTGTTGTGAGCACTTTAAGAGTAAAATTTTGAATGCACCAAGCCGATGTGGGGAGAGCACACCTTTGAGATCGTTCGGGTAAATGAACCAGTTGAGGTGCGCGAACACTGGTATGGATACCACGTGACCGCTAAACTTAAAAACAGAATATTGCTTCTATCTCATCTTCTTTTGAAAAGATACATTTAAACTTTATTATACCATCTTACTTAGACCACGAATAAAGTGAGGCACAGAAGGTGAGTATTATTAGGTAGAAATATTTATGAAAATAATACTTTTATTATAGGAAAGTTGGACAATATTAATATGCAATTGATTTTCTCTTGATTGAAATACATCTATCAAAAGAAAAGCCAACAAAAAGAAAGTTTCTTTAACAGACTAATCGCTTATATTTCCTATGGAGCAAATAATTAGTTATCTTGAAAATAAAGATAGATGTTACTGGAAAAGGGTTCGGAAATAAAGAATCAAATTACATTTGTGATGTTGTGAAAGTGATTACGATATGGCTTCTCCGTTTGTTTTCATTGTTTTGCTTTTTAAGCAATAGCTAACAAAATTCTGTGCATAGCATGGGCAACATAACTAGTCAAGATAATTATTTCGAAATTGTTAATTTGATTAAGATCTTAACTTAAAATGGACGGTGTCTTATAAACACGCATTTATACAAAAAAAAAAAAAACAAGTGTTATGAATAATGACAAGGAATCAAAAGACTTCCTTCCAAGTTGACTTGGACTTCTCTTCCAGATGGGGTCCAGTCATCAATTTAAAGACTTCAATTCCAAGAGTGGATGTGCCTTTCCTTCCTTACCATAATTATGATAGAGGACCTTAAGTGTGCTGCATATAGAATCTATCATATAACATGCTGGATAGACTTGAGATTTACCTATGATACAATAATTTGGTAGGATTAGTGCACAAACATTCATACATACGGCGAAACCAACATTTCTTCTAATTCATCACAACGGTATCTTTTCTCTTACCGTTGTTAGTGGCTTTGAGTGTCGATTCGCATGGATTATTGCCTTTTTCTTGAGTAGCGGCACAACAGATGCAGCCGTTCCTTTGCCAACAACCCGACATAACATTGCAGCACTAAAACTGAAAGTACAGGAGAAATGGTACCCCTGGTACCATCACGATATGGTAAACGCAATTCAAATCAAGTTAAAGAAAAGCTTCCACAAATTCATTCACAATGACTAAAACTAGACTCTTTGGTTTCCCAGCTTGCAGGTTGGGTCGAGATATATGAAGGCTTGGCGTTCGTTGCCGTAATGGGCTCGGGACATGAAGTGCCAATGTGTCGCCCCTCCCAGGCACATACTATGCTCAAGAGCTTCCTGTCTAATGCACCAATGCCCAAGCCACCTCCTAAGCAGACAAGCTCCGCCTGAAGTCACTTGAGCTATGATCCCACAAATGCTCAGGTTCATCGTTAAATGAAACGGTTCTGGTCAATCTTTTGTTCTTGATGCAAAACTATTGAAGCCCTTGC